TCAAGAATGTTTGGTGAATGAATTACATGTATGTAATAATTGGAGATTTTTTCTCTTAATACTGTCAAGCCCTTGAGGTCTTTCCATGTTGTATATATCAGCTGTGTTTTTCTGTCATGCATAGCTTTCAGTGGTACAGATGCAGATAATGAAGGACACTTTGGTTCCATTTTCTTTTTACAAATAAATAAAAGTTTCCCTTTATTTGAAACGTTAAGCCTTTCTTCAGTAAGTATGTTCTTAGTTATAGGTCCTTTGTTTTTGTTCCTTATTAATTTTATCAAATTACCCTCAATCCCTTACTTTCCAAGGGATTTTTTTCAAAGCTCATAAAAGCTTTTCAGCAAACATGATCAATAGAGAGGATTTTGTGATTTTTATGCTTTAAAACTTGTGGTAGAATGCATTGATTTTCAAATATTCAACTGGCAGTGAGTTCTCGGAAGAAGTTCCACTTAGCTGTCGCATACACTTACTGTTACAATTTTGAATTCCAATGGGCTCATATTTTATAGAAGATCTCTGTCCTTTTTGTTTGTTTTTCATTTCAATTTTCTTTCTCTTACCTTTATGTGATTATTTGAGCATATTTATGAATTGTACTTTTATGTCTCAACAGTATTTTTAAAGTGTATTTCTCCTCCTAGTCTTCTTTATTATTGGCTGTCCTAAATAATACATTACACAATGTCAGGTGCACAGTTCAATACATTACACTTATGTTGAAATTGAGCTAAGAGTATAATCATTGCTGATGTTTTTTCTTAGCATATTCTTTACTACTCTTGTTATTGTCTGTCTTTTTTTTGTTTTGTTTCCTCTTGTTTCCAGAACTTCATTTGACAATTCTGTCAGGATATTTTGATGACAAATTCTCTTAATTTTTTTTTGGTCTGAGAATTTTTAAAAAATCTGTCATTCATTTCAAAAGCTAGTTTCCGGATATTTAGAATTCAGGTTGGCATTTCTCTTATTTCAGCAATTGCAAAATACTCTGCCACGTCCGTCTGGCTTCCAAGGTTTCTGTTGAGAAATGTGTTGTCTCTTGAATTGTTTTCCCCCTTTAGATAATGTGTGTTTTTTCTTGCTGCTTTCCAGATGTTTGGTTTTTAGTTCTAAGTTTGGCTGTGATATGTCCTGGCTCAGATTCTTTGGGCACCTCTTGTTTAGAGGTTTACATAGTTTTTTCCATCTCTAGAATCTTTTGCCAGATTTGGAACGTTTTTAGTGATTATGTCTATGAATAGTTCTGTAGTTTGATTCACTCCCTCCCCATGCTCCACCCCACTCCTTTTGAAATACAGTGAAAGGGATATTAAGTTTTTTCTTTTAGTACTTAGGCTCTGTTTATTTAAAAGATATGTTTAGTGTCTGTTAGATTGAGTAGTTTCTGCTGTCTTCCAAATCACTGAATTTTTCCTCTTTCCTCTGCAGGCTGCGCTTATCCATTTGCTTCAATTTTTTCAGTTGCAAAATTTTTCTTTGGTTGCTCTTGTGTCTTCTAGTTTTTACTGTAGAACAAGAAACTCCACCAGCATGTTTGTGTAGTTCTACTAAAGATAATATTTATTATATTACTTTTGCCTTTTGAAAACATACAATATAAAGATAAGTGATAAGTCTATGATCTACATACTGGTACTCCTGCTTTAGGGACTATTTTCTACATGGTTTATATTCTTTTGTTATTAAATTACTACGGTGATGTTAATTCTCATTAATTCAACAAATATTTACTGCCTGCCTATCATGGCATTCTGGGGGTTAGGGAGCCAATCAGATATTTTTGCTTTGACTTCCCTTTATTTATCCGCTCTTGATACAATGAAAGCATATTAGAAGAAGAAGGTACGCGAACTGAATTTTATTTTATGTAAAGCAGTCAAGAATTCTGATTTTTAGGCTCTATTCCTTTTTATTACCTAATACACAAGATTATTAATGCTTTGCTATGAAACACTAATACATTTGGCAAGGACTGCAGGTTTTCAGAAATAAAAATCTTTATTTTTTTGGCTAAGCATCCAGGCATGGGCACAAAAATTCACTAGCCTATTCATTTTTATTTGTTTCAATGAGGTGTACTAGTACAATTATTTTATGTTATCAGACAGTTTGTTAAGAAATTCGATAGTTCACAGACTGAAGAATAGAATTTTTCTTCATGTTTTATGAATAAATGAATAAATAAACGAACAAATAAATAGCTATTTTTTTCTTTTTAGAGCTTAAGCAAACACTTCCCAAGGTGTTTTTTCCCAAGGTGGAGTACCCCCCCTAAGAGAGACTTTTTTATTTTCAATTTTATATATATATTTAAAGATTTATTTGTTTTTATTGGAAAATCAGAGATACACAGAGGAAGAGAGACAGAGAGGAAGATCTGCCCTCCACTGATTTACTCCCCAAGTGACTGCAATGGCCAAAGCTGGCCGACCCGAAGTCAGGAGCCAGGAATCTCTTACAGGTCTCCCAAGTTGGTGCAGGGTTCCAAGGCTTTGGGTTGTCCTTAACTCCTTCCCATGCCACGAGCAAGGAGGTGGATGGGAAACCAGGCTGCCAGGGTTAGAACTGGCATCTATATGTGATCCAGCTCTCCCACATGGGTGCAGGGTCCCAAGACCTTGGACCGACCCCAACTGCCTTCCCAGGCCACAAGTAGGGAGCTGGATGAGAAGCGGAGATGACAGGATTTGAACCAGTGCTCATGTGGGATCCCAGCTCATGGAAAGCAAGGATTTTAGCCCCTAAATACTGAGCAGGGCCCCTGTGTCTTATTTCTAAAGTGTCCAGTTGATGCTGATGATACTGTTTTGTGGACCTCACGTTGAAACTCCATTTAATTAATCTATATCCCTTTTTCAACATCTTCACCTGTCTTTTTGTTGTTGTTGTTCCTTTGATCTGAATTTTTCATTTGGAATCTAAATGGCTGTTGCTAGCATTTCTGATCTTTATGTTGACAAATCAAATGAACACATTTCACATTCTCATTTTAGAAGTCATTTAATGTGGCTGAATGTACTTGATTGTTCCTTCTTTTTACAAAACTGTCCTGTTTAGTTTAGAGACTTTGCTTTTCCACACTTTCTTATTCTTGCTTGCACTTGCTTACTCAATAACCTTCTCTCTCTGTTACTCTCAAATAAAAGTCTTCATATCAGACTTAGATCTAGGAATTGGATCTATGTCTTTTTCATATCTTATTTTGTCCTCTGTTTCTAAAGGATCTTGTTTTCCCTGTCTGAATGCTAATAATTTCCAATTTATCTTCTACATTAAAGCTTTTTCTAAACTTGAGTACATCCACAGTGATTTATTTCTTAGCTGCTCACTTGAATACCTTGTACATTTTCAAATAACGTATCAAATAAATCACCATATTTCACAAATTACATGATGCCCTTGTAAAATAATTTACATATCCAGGAATGTATGTATCTTCTGTGAGCTAGAGTCTTTTTGACCTACCGCTTCATTGAGAAAATGTGTTCTTCCAGTATTCTCTATGCCATGAGTCTTTCCTTTTGTTGAGTTGTTAAAGCTGGACACCTGGTGTTAATTTGATACTTCAGTCCTCAATGCTGATGTTGCTATCTCCAAAATATTTCTCAATTCTCTTTTTTTTCCATGTGTATTGTTATAACTTTTGTTCAAGTAATCATCACCTTTCTCATAAGTTGTTTTTTCCAACCAAGTATGTACTTACACTGATCTTTCAAAAATATAAATCTGACTGTATCACCATTTTACTTAAAATTCTTCAGTGGTGAAATTTATAACTTTAATATGACATCAAAAGAGCTTGCCTGTGCTGCCTTACCACTTCCATTTAGCATTATATTCCTCATATTTCCTGTCTGTGGCACAATGATGTGTACAGTTCTTTTACAGTAATGTATTGATGCTTCTTAGAATGTTCTTTGCTCCACTTTTTTTTTTTTTAACTCTGCTAACCAATTTGTCTGTTGGGTCACATCACTTAGATCTAGTCTCATTTTAAATATCATCTTTATAGGCATTTTCTTGACTCCAAAATCTAAATAAGGTCTTATTGTAGTCTAAATCATTACTTTCTTAATAGTGCTTTGTCCTTTCCTATATAACTCTGTGGATTTGTTGTATTTAACTTCACTCTGTTGTCATCCTTTTTCAGTGTTTTATCCTTTATACCAGGACTTAGCTTAATACACGGGGAGTATTCAGTACATATTTTAAAATATATCAATGAATTTTTAAAAATTTATATGAACATATAAACTAAATTATTTTAATGTAAAAATATGTAAATTTAAAATATATATCCATTCTCACTTATCATAGACATATATTATTTAAACTAACAATTATTTTATATTTCCCTTTGATATGGATAGTTTCTTTAAAAAGTTGAAATATTTTCAAAATAATACTGAATAATTAATGACATTTTTATGACTATAAAATGAATGAATATCTTGATGGTTTCAAAGTTGATATTTTATGTAATCAGTATTTTTTAACCACCCAAATTTTAGTGGAGATTTAATATTTCAAATGATAATATACTGCATCCCAGAAAGAACATTTATTTATTTGACATTTGGAATAGAGGTATTGGCAAATAACTGTTGAATTTTTAAATGTGGATAATCAATTAATCATTGGAGAAAAATTCCTACCTTTCGTCAGCATGAAAAAAAATAGTAACAGATGGAGTTGATAATCTTTCTTTTTTAGTATGTATAATTTTTCTTTCTTTTTATTTATTATTAGCCTTCTTTCTTCTTGTAGGAATTTTGTTGTGTAGATTCTGTCTAGAACACATAACCCTTATATTTAGCATTCTACATTTTATCCTGTTGGAATCTAGGTTTTCTCTTGATGTAAGTCATGGGTACTATAGACAAGGTTCTTAAAAGCAGACAGGATCCCACAGCTTAAAATGTTGATAATGTCTGTCTGTCCTTTTTCCCCCCCGCTGTCTCCTTTACTGCACTTTCTGTCTGTCTGACTCACAGGAGACATGGATTACCACTGGTTGGACCATACGTCTTGGCATAGCAGTGAGGCATCCCCAATGTCTTTGGTGAGACATGTGGAGCCTTACTATATACTTTTCGTTATCATTTCACTTTTCCTTTTTTATTTACACCTTTGCATGTTTTCTTTTTTGTATCTTTTTTTTTTCTTTATCCCACACCTGTAGGGGACAGTCAAAAGGGAAAAAGAAAAACTAGTGAGCAGGCAGTTTTGTCGGACTCTAACACCAGGTCTGAGAGACAAAAGAAAATGATGTGCTTTGGTGGCCACTCTTTGGAAGAGGATTTGGAATGGTCTGAGCCTCAGATTAAGGATTCTGGGGTAGATACCTGTAGTAGCACAACCCTTAACGAGGAGCATAGCCGTAGTGATAAGGTACTGAGACTGTGGAGCCTGCCTTTTACCCTGCTCATTTGGTCTTCGTTTGCTCTCTGTCACTCATTGAAAAATCAGAACATGAGAAGAGGACAGGACATTTCAAGGATCAATGTAGCATTTCTTAAGGTGCAGAAAAGAAAAACAAAACCGAATCAAACAATCCAAAAACTCTTTGCTTGCTCTGCTGTTTCTATTGTTGACAGCATACCAAAAATTAAGTAAATGAAAATAAAACTTAGGAACAAAGGAATGTTTTATCAGTGGTTGCATGAGATAATTTCGTAATATTATGCTAAACCACAAATAACAAGCAATTTTTCTTGGATTGGCTTATTTGATTGCTTGCATATATTTTCCTTGGGATGAAACATCAATTAATAGTTTGAATCCCAGGCAAAAGGGAGATAATTGGGTCTGTTTGCACAGAAAAAAAAAAAAAGTTGTTTTTCTTTTTTCCCTTTCGCTGTCATTTGGCTCTTTTGTTTTATTGTCCTAGTATTTTCATAGAGTATTCATTAGTATTAGAGCCATTGTCATCTGCTTTGATATTTGTTATTTTTGCTTTTAGTATAGTAAGACTTCTGAAATTTTTTTATCATATAGATGTGACTGACTTGTACTTAATTTTTGCCTGCTAAATTTTGCATGAAGATATGCATGTTGCCTTTAGAAAACTGTGAAACTACTATGATTACACAAATTATTTATTTTATATGTAGCATATCATTCATTAGGAATGGTGTGTCATTATTTATAAGGCTTTGGTTCTGCTCTGAAAAGAAATAAACTACTAGTGTTTTCAAAGTTATTCAACATCACGCACCATTAAATTATATAATATTTTTGAAAACAGATTAAAGATCTGAAAGTCAGTGAACCTACGGAAAGTGGAAAATTGAATCTAAAATTTCCACTTTTGAATGAAGCCTGTTCCTCCTGCACAGAATCAGTTGTAAATTATTGGAAGTTTTTTTTTTATTTGAATCTAGAAACTTTCCTGAAGAAAACCCGCATCACAAATGTCCAGATTCCATGGGTTATTCTTATTTGACTTTTGAAAGTTTATATAATATAGCTTTCCTAGCTTTCAAAATTGTTTCAATAGTAAATTGTCATTTTTAAGGAATTTTACTGCATAGTTGAAAAGTACCTTTTCAATTTGTGAATTTTTTTATTAATCTTGGGTATGTAAATAATTAGAATTTGAATTTCTTTAGAATTTTAAGGATATTTTGAATTTGGCATAGACACAGAGCTCTAGTATTGGATCAGAAAACTGAATCTAAAATAATTATTTAATGAAAAATAGTTGAGATCATAAAGTCTAGGTTATAAGCAAAGTATGGAAAGCCCTTGTGATCAGTATTCTGTAATAGAAACTGGTTTGTGTAATCATAACACTTTGAAATTCTGACGTTTAGAAAAACTGTGCAACCAGATACTGTTTTCCATGAAATAACATGCATTTTTATTGTTTGTTAATTGTAACATGTCAGCACCCTGTGACCTGGCAGCCATCTAAAGATGGAGATCGCTTGATTGGCCGTATTTTATTACACAAACGTCTGAAAGATGGAAGTGTACCTAGAGATTCAGGAGCAATGCTTGGCCTGAAGGTAAGTAATAATGTGCAAGAGATGCTGGCTCTGCATCACTTTAGGTTTATCAGAAAAACAAAAGATCTATTTAATGTGTTTACCCATATGAATGTAGGAGATTGTTTTTTTTCCAAGAATTCATAAATCTTTACATTCAATATGCATTTTTATTTCCAAGTATTATAAAAGTCACAAATATAATATGAGAAGGCATTGAAAGTGACCTGATTAGTACACATTAAAATCCTAAGTATGATGTTCAGTCTTATTTTACCTATATAATTTGCCCTTTAAGTCTTTATCTATGATTTTATGTGATAGGATAATCTTTAGTGTGATGGTATTAGTTAATTTATGCAAGTTTAAGTTATTCGTTACGTGTATTACCCATGCATATAATTGCATTAATGCAGTAAAATGTGAGTGTTTGTGTAAGGGAGAGAAAATATTGTTTGTAATTTGAAAACTAAAAAATAAGTAGGGGATAAAATAAATATTGATTTATATTGTAACTATGACATCTCAGATAAATATTTGGTAATTACAATAATTAGAGCTGTTTTGCTTTTTTATGATTCAGTAGAGTAAATGTTTTAGAGTCAAACCATTTTGCAGAAGTTGTGGTATAGAATAAGGCAGGTAAAAGATAACAGGAAACTTTGGATAGAGGTGGAATTGGGCAGCTAACATTTCTTCTGGTGATTACTATGTGGAAGGCATTCATCTAAGAATTTTTTACATCTTATTTAACATTCACCATAGATGGGTTCAGTGCATTGTAATTTTTTCATGATTTAAAGGTGGTGTCAACTGTGGGATTTAAATTATATCGTACTACTATAACATTTCAACAATGGTGGTGGAGAAAACAGAAATTTTTAACTGAATTCCAGTTGTTGTAGTTACCAGCTACCTAACATTGGGCTGTGAAGCTTCTCTTAGACTCATATCTGAGATAGACTCACATCTATCCAATGTGGATAATACTGTTATGAGATAAAATAACAAACATGTAAATACTTAAATAATATGTTAACAATAATGACAATAATTGGTATAATTATCAATTATTATTAAAGTTATAAGCCAAAACATTATAAAGTTTACATAGAGCTCCAATTCTTTAAGATCTACACATTTAATTTTCAGAATTACATATGAAACTCATTAGCTTAGATAAACTAAATTTCATTGAGCCTAATTTACTGAAACAGAATAATTGTATGGAGTAAGATAAATCAAGGATTTTTGAGTTAATTTGTCGTTTACTCAATTTAGAAGAGAAATTACTTCAGTCAATGAAGTTATTTACTATTATTTGCCTCATTTGCCATAAATTTGATCTATTGATTAAATGGCAGTTGATCAGAACCAAAGCATTAATCTTCAGGATCGAGTCTTTGAAGAACACAGATGACTCCACCAAATTATTCTTATTTTTAAAGAAGATATATCTGAATATAAATGTAAAAATAGAAAAACTGGAATGTAAATGTTTAAGATTTACATTACTTCTCAGGCAACAAGCATATTTAATATTATTCTCAAGAAATGCTAGGTCATTAAAAACATTATCAAGATGCCCAAGTATTACTACTGAAAATTAATAGCATACCATAATCAAAGCACCAAATATTTTGTATTATAACACTTAATTTTATAACTAGACATTTTATTTAATTATATACTACTATAATAGCATATTTTATAATAGACCCAAGTATTTTGTAAAAGGAATTCAAATGACCAATTGTGGTTGTTTCTAATATACAGTGTTTTCCAAGGCAAGGTTTTACAAATTAGTTCTTAGGATACCCCCTCCCAAATTAGCTCCAGCACATTAAGTTGTAATTTTAGAAGTTACAAATTGTTCTAGATAGTTTTGCAAGAGTCTTCAACAGTGTTCATTTTAACAAAATGCCTGGTTTAATACTTTCCTCTTTTAAACAGGTAGTAGGAGGGAAGATGACTGAATCAGGTCGCCTTTGTGCATTCATTACCAAAGTTAAAAAAGGAAGCTTAGCTGATACTGTAGGACATCTTAGACCAGGTAAGTTTTCATCTTTGAATATTTCTGTTTAAGATACTAGGCTTAAGAAACTATGTAAAGGGCCCGGCGGGATAGCCTAGTGACTGAATACTCACCTTGTAAGCACCCGGGTTCCATATAGGCACTCATTCATGTCCCAACTGCTCTACTTCCATCCAGCTTCCTGCTTGTAGCCTGGGAAGGTAGTAGAGGATGGTCCAAATCCTTGGGATCCTGCATTCATGTGGGAGATCCAAGGATGCACCTGGCTCCTGGCTTCAGATCAGATCAGCTCTGGGTGTTGTGTTCACTTGGGGAGTGAACCAGTGGATGAAAGTTCTATCTCTCTGTCTCTCCTTCTCTTTGTAATTCTGACTTCCCAATAAAACCAAATAAACATTAAAGAAAAATAAAATAAATTATGAAAAAGTTACCCTTTTTTTATAAGTGTAACTAGCCAGCTGTGAAGAATTCATGTCCCTGAGATGGAAATATTCATTCAGTCATTGGAAAATGTACCATATTCTTGAGTCTTAGTAGCTAAAATAATTTTTCATTTACTGATTGCACTTTTTATTGATGGATTTTCACAATTTTTTTTTGTAAAGATTTAGTTTTTTTCATATTTGAAAGGCAGAATTACAGAGAGAGGAGAGAGTAAGAAAGATCTCCATCCTCGGTTCATTTCCCAAATGGCTGCCATGGCTAGAGCTGGGCTGGTCTGAAGCAGGAGCCAGGAGTTTCTTCCAAGTCTCCTATGTGGGTGTAGGGCCCCAAGCACATAGACTGTAGTGCACTGCTTTCTGAGGCACAACGTCAGGATGCTGCACTGGAACTTGAAGCTGTCCCCATATTCGATGACAGCAGTATAGACCAAGGATTAGCCTGGTAAGCCATGGCAGCAGCCTTTATTGTAGTATATTCTAAAATCCACCTAATATTTATCTTGCTTCTCAAAGACCTTCTTTTTCTTTTGAAAAATAATGCCAAAATCGTTTAGAAAACGAACTAATCATTAAGCATTTTACAAGAGACTTCAGTTAACAGAAACCCCCAAAGGAAATAAGATGCTTAGTTGCGTGGATATTGAGAAACCTGGGGCATAATTTTAAAACTTTCGAAAGATACAACAGGTCTTGAGAATTGTCCAGAATTAGAAATCACATAGAGATAATGTTTAGGTAATCTTTTTCCTTATGATCATTATTCTGGGTGACATGCGCTATTTGCTATTAAATTTTGTGCCACTGAATCTGTTCACAGTGTATTTTTTTAATTCAGTAGTGGTGATCTTATTCTGTGGAGTTCATTGATGCTTAGATTGCTTTTATTTCAAATATATTTTATGGCATTAGTTTTTCTAAGATTCTTGCTCACATACACTACAGGTGATGAAGTTTTAGAATGGAATGGAAGGCTGTTGCAAGGAGCCACGTTTGAGGAAGTGTACAATATCATTCTGGACTCCAAACCTGAACCACAAGTGGAACTTGTTGTTTCAAGGCCTATTGGGTAAGTTGATTTTAATACTTCATATGTGTAGAGTTTAGCACAACCAAAACGTTTGTAATGTGCAGTCTAAAAATATGTGAATGCCTTATGAAAATAATTTATTTTATAGACAAGTTCTTTTCTTCCTGCTTAGCAAAAGTATCCTGCCCTTTACTTGATTTGATAAAAATGTGTGGTTAATATGTGGCTTATTGCAGGAGAGGAATACATATTTAGATGTTTATTATTCTTTAAAGATTTATTTGTTTTTACTGGAAAGAAAGATTTACAGAGAGAGGGAAAGACCGAGGGAAAAGTATCCTACTCCCTGGTTCACTCCCCAAATGACAGAGCTGAGCTGACCTGAAGCCAGGAGGCAGGAGCGAGGAGTTTCTTTTGGGACTGCTTCATGAGTGCAATGCCCCAAGGCTTTGGGCCATCATTCACTGCTTTTCCAGACATAAGCAGGGAGCTGAAAGGGAAGCAGAGCAGCTGTGTCGTGAAAAGCGCTCATTTAGATTGTTGTTTCTGGCAGAGGGAGAATTATTGACTTGGCACCGAGGTGTCCTCCAGATGTCTAGTTTTTTTATTATTCTAGTAGCCTTATAGATGGCTACTGTTGTTAATAGGGGAATACCATACTAGCAGTTACTTATGTTTCATTACCTGTGGTCCTCTATATTGTAAAAATGATGATGATCACATAGTTTATAAATTACACATTTTTAAAAATATGCTTAACTACCAGACAGAATAGTTTAAGAAACAATGAAGTGTGTTTTTAATGCTGATTAGATTATCAAAAATACCAAACTACTTTATGTGTTTGTAACTTGTCGTCTATATTAATTTGACAATCTCCAAAAAATATCAATTATATTAGCATACTATATTTTATATATTAATATAAGTATAACAATCATTAGCATTAATTTGGCAATTATAAGAAGTTGACCATAAATCTGAACTTATCACCTACATTATAATAATTTTTCATTGGGCTCAGTGTGGTAGCGTAACAGCTAAAGTCCTTGCCTTGCACACATTGGGATCCCATGTGGGCACCAGTTCTAACCCCAGTGGCCCTGCTTCCATCCAGTTTCCTGCTTTTGGCCTGGGAAAGCAGTAGAGGATGGCCAAAAGCAGTGGGAGCCTGTAGCTGTGTGGGAGACCTGGAAGAAGCTCCTGGCTCCTGGCTTCGGATTGGCTCAGCTCCAGCTGTTGCAGTTGCTTGGGGCGTGAATCATCGGACGGAAGATCTTCCTCTCTGTCTCTCCTCCTCTCTGTATATCTGCCTTTCCAACAAAAATAAATAAAATATTTTTTTAAAAACATTAATATTGTTCACTATTACAAAGTTTTTATTTTGTAGAAGATTGTATTCTTATATAGGGCACAGATCATTTTCTCATATACAGATTTACTTTTTTGTATATATTCCCAGGAGTAGGATAATTGGGTCATATGGTAGATCCATTTTCAGAATCTATACCAATGTCAAAGAAATGTCTAAATAAAAAGTGTTAGCATGATATTTAAACCTATAGTGAAATATTAAATACATTTTCAACATAAGGCATTGAAGCAGGAGACCACATGAACTATTATTTGTTGAAGAAGAGTAATGCTTAATTTATGGTAATTCAGGAATTTAGATGTGGTATTTATATCTCTTTAGTACTATAGAAAATGATTTAGGTTGGTGACTTATTTTAATCAAAAAATACCTTTAATTAGCATGGGGTACTTATTTCTTATATATAATAATAATACTCTTATCAAAAAGTTATCCTTAGTGCATATGGTCCTCTTGTAAGACAGATGATAATTATCAAAGTAATGTTGTGTTCAGTGTTGAGTTTCATGTGTTGTTTTGCTGTCATTTCAGAGATATACCTAGAATCCCGGAGAGCACGCATGCCCAGCTGGAATCCAGTAAGTGTCATTTCTCTTGAAGGAAATGTTACTCATAATATTTTTCATGAGGAGCCAAATGACATATTTAACTATTTGTATAAATTAAGGGATGTTAAAGCCTTCCTATCAAGTACAGTCCTATGATGATGGCAAAATATAGCATTCCATAGTATTTTAAGATTTTTGAAGCCACATTGTCTTCATTGTAGATTTTTAGACAGTTTTTCTGTGGCATGCTATAAGTAACTGAATTTAAATGAAGTGCAAATTAGGTAAGTTCTGACATGCTTGCATACCCATGAAATCATGATGAGAATAAAATAATCAAGAACATATTTTCATCATTCCCAAGAGTTTCACCCTCAAACTTAGCACAACTTTAATATTTACTTCGTAACCTCAGAGTGAGCATATTACATGAAACAAAAAAAGAAAAACTGTGTTTATTCTCATTTACATTTTTAAATATGGAATATTAGTCCTGATTTAACTTCAAAGGTATGTGTGGTAGTGAATATAGGTGTTTAACTGATGTTAACACATGAAGGCTTCTTCAGAATGAACTTTTCATACTAAGGTATTTAACCCGTGACAGTCAGACAATGACTATTGAGAGACAAGAGAACAGAATGGATCTTGCATTGAAATATGTTTTGAGGATATGCCACATTTAGAATCAAGGACTAAAGCAAGAACTTGAAAGGAGAGCCTTCCAGGTCCAGCTGGTGAATGACACCAAGGCAGGAAAGCCCAAGGCAGATTTGAGGAGATGAAAGTAGGCAGAGAGGCTGAATGGAAAACAAGAGGACAATGGTGCAAAGGAGGGAAGTCGTGATTACCAAATGGCATAGGCTCTGTGCCTCACTTTTGGGACTTTGGCTTTTCTCTGAAGGAAACTTAGAACTAGAAAGATGATAATGAGGTGCGGTGTGTGTTTTAGAAACTGGCCAAGGATAAAAGCAGTGAGAAGACTTATCTAATAAACTGGGGATACGATGATGTTGACCTAGACTGTAGTGACAGCAGTGAAGGTGGTGAGACACGCTCACATTTGCCAAATATCTCAAAACTGTGACTATACTGTAAGAATAGATATATTTAAAGATTCCTAATTTTTTCATTTTTTATGCTACATTTCCATACGCTCAGGGATTTCCCTTGCTACCCTTTTCATTCCCCCTTCCCCTACCGCTGAGAAATAATTTTTTTTTTACTTTTATATATATAAATATAAATCTTTACAATTCTTCAATAGAGTCAGTGCAGTTCTTTTGGCATTCCAAAGCTGTCCAATTTGAAATATGGTTACATGAGTTGTTTGAAATAGCACCTATGGCTAGATGCAAAGTCATTTAATCAAAAATAATATCTCAACCATGAGAAACAATCAATATTATTATTATCATGATGATGTGATGGTATTATCATTATCGTTGTTGCTCTCATTTTGCCTAATACGTAATTTGTACTTAATGTTATGCTTGTATAACACTTGGGCAGCAACCCTGGGATAGGTGAAATTTTTATTCACTCAGATTACTCAGAGATTATATGTGCCGTGTGTTAGCTATCTTCTTATGGCTGTTAAGAGGATTGTTTCTACGGAGACAGGAATCCTTTCTCAAATAGCATCTGATCTTATTCTTTAAACGTTGAAGATGAAGAAGGTTCTAGAACTAGTCGATCTAGAATTCTGTTTCTGACTCCTCAATCATCTCTTTTTGTGGTTTTGATTTTTAAGATACATGACTCCTAAGTTTCTATCATGAAAAGCATCTATCATGGTCCCTTTTTCCCTAACTGTTCAAATAATTTCTAATGGTTAGTGTGTTTCTGCTATCTGAAATGTTATAAGATTTGGAGTAAGAGAACAGATTACTTCTTATCATAAAGATACTATTCTTCCTACTTTCTAAGAAACATAAAAAACAAATGAGCAAGCGAACAACCATTGCTCTTCCCTCTGCTCTTAACGCCTGAGGTTTTGGTTCCGTTTTGCTTCAATACGCCCTGTTGAAGGAATTGACCCACCTCCGTCTCCAGCTGGCATACATTGCACAGGCTCATTTTGGACAGTTTTTACTCAAACATCTGATTCTGTTTTTCCAGTTAACTGCTTTTCATCTTCCTTGAAATGTCTCTTAGGTATTTCAGAGTTGGCTGTGTTCCAGAGTGAGCTCCTCACTCAGGCCTTAAAGTGTCTCTTTTAGTGTCCTCCCTCCTTGTGAATGTCAGCACCGCCCTTCTGCATTCATGCCATAGGTGTTGGGGACGTTATGGACCCTGTCCCAGTGACTAGCGCCTCAAATTTTAGTGTTTCCCCTGCTTTCTCATGCGCTATTATCTTTACTTTCTTTTCTGAGTCTTTACTTTCTTTTGTCATGCTCTCTGCTGAAGTCCCTCTTTCTATTCCTTTTGACCACATTTACTGCTGTAGTCTTACAGCATTCATCCTACCTCAAACTGTTTGCTAACTCTTCATTGCAACCCACACTCCACATAAGTAGTAAACTCATCCTTCTCAAGTGTAATCTTTATGATACCATTCCTTTAGACTTAGTGTGAATATTTTATTAGTACTAAAGTGATTATTCTATAATTATTAAATGTAATTTCCGCGGTATCTTACCAATTTCATTTCTATGTATTTTTCAACTTGTTCCTTCACCATCACAGAAATAAATTTGTCCATGCTTGAATAAATTATGGGTATTGCAATTTTGGTTTTTCTTTTGTGTTTTGTTCATAGCTCTCTCTTTTCTGCCATTTTAGTTTTAGTCTATTTTTCCAGAAATGATTTTTAAAACTCACTGCTTGACAACCTTTAGAGTTTGGGGACATTCAAATACATAAGTTCTGAGTATTGTGAATTTAGATTGCCTTCACAAGTTGCTTTATTGATTCATATGTTTGTTCTATTTAAAAATTAAATATTATAAGATGTCAGCATAATATACATAACAGACAAATGAAGTGCTGCGACAGGAGACTGTTTCTACTAAAATTGGCACAGAAAACAATTCAAACTGGCCTTAAAAGAAACCTTAAACTGTAGTGATGCTTCCAAAACAAAACACAAAACTAAACCCACCAAAAACCTCTTAAGAACATACATATTGGAACCATTCTGGATAAGAAAATCGTTTTTTTTAAAATGATCTTTTACATGCATCTTAAAAATATTTTAAAATGTAATCAGGTAAGTTTATTAAATAGTAGTCAAGTACCATTTTACTGTTTTCTCATGTATAGTTATCTTTTCAGGTTCTAGCTCCTTTGAATCTCAAAAAATGGATCGTCCTTCAATCTCTGTTACCTCTCCTATGAGTCCTGGCATGCTAAGGGATGTCCCACAGTTCTTATCTGGACAACTTTCAGTATGTAATCTCTAACTTAATTTATTGTTTCAGAATATCAAATAGTATTTTTTAAAATATGTTGACTTTCATAAACTGAGTTCTTCCTAGGACATTATTGTATTTTTAACCATGAACTTTTAATTCTTACACTTTTTAAGAAATTAAAATTCAATTTTGATTATTTATTGTAGTGCTTTTTATTAGATCTAGATTTTCTGGATTTTATTAAACTAGATTTTGTTAAGACAAGGTAATTTTTAAGTCAAGTATTATTTCAAAATTCAAGGTCATGATCTTGCTTTGTATTATAAAATGACTAATTTACCAATGATTTTAAGAGAAATAAAATACATACAAAGCTAATATTTAAAACTAAATATGTCGTTTTTATAACTTTCCAGTCTTTGAAAAATTTATTATGTATTTAATGGTAATTATTGGAGTACGGAAATTGCTCTAAAATAATGTGATCCTTTGGATATCCTTGTCAATAGATAAAACCAAATTAAAGAGGTCATATGTAATCAATTCCTGATTATGTGCTAGGTGATTTCACATTAAGTGATCCTTCAATTCATCGTTTCCTAATAGAAAGTTAAAAATCAGTTATGCATTTTATATCATGTTCATTTGCAGAGCTTTGCAAATTTGTTTTATTCATTTGTTCAGTTGTCATTTACTTATAAGCCATTGAAAATATCAAGATATTTAAAATTATTCATTTATACATCAGAAAGGTTCAGGTTAATATGGTGAGTAATGTTGGCAATTACTGAACTTGAAATTTCATGAGTGTTTGGGAACTATTTATGTTCTTAAATACAGATGTTGAATTTTGGATAAAACATATTGGAGTTAAAAAAAAGTCCATGTATCAGATTGATATTTGAAGAGAAATAGAAATAGATTTCTTGGGGGGGGGATTAAATCAACTGCAAAATTTCCCCTGTTTTTTGGGGGGGGGAGGGAAGGGCAATGTGTTATTTAAATGTCTTCTGAAGTTTTTTCATATTTAAAAGTGAATTCTTCGAGTATAAGCAAAATTAAGCTATGAAAAATGACTCAGAAATTCCCTGAACGTGTCTTAGCTGTTACTGTTTTGAACCACAAAGGTGACAATAACAGAAATACGATGCATACGTGATGAGCTAGGGTGCTGTACATATCTCACTAAAATGATTTTTTTTCTCTTTGTGATTTTCTTTTCCTTTCTGTTTCACAGAGTGAATATTTTATTTTGAAAATAATGGTGCATTTTCAATCTCTATAATAAATAGCATTTTTCCATATATATATATATATACTATGAATTTGTGTGTTTGTGTGTGTGTGTGTGTGTAGATGGCTTGAGTTTGTGGAGGAGATAGTAGAAGTTGAATTTCCCTTAAGAAGGGTTAATACTTCCTGTCTTGTTCATAGTCTCAAGGTTTCATTATGGTTTGGGCAAGGAGAGAGAGTTGAGATCATAGCATAGGGATTTAGTTAAACTTTGGATTTAATGACTTACTGTTTAAAATGAATGTTTTAAAAAGATGAGGCTGTCAAATATTTTGGGGAGATACAAAATTGAGGTTTCATTTCTAAAGGTAAGTGTGATAGTGTATAGCTAAACCCTTTTGATTTGTGATATTGGCTTAATTTCCATGTAATTACGATTTAAAACATATGCTATTTTCTCATTTTCTTATGACTTGAAAAGGTTATTGTATACTATGAAACTGACAGCAAAATTTTTGCCAACATATGATTGTAATTTAAACACACACAGCCCTACACTTACTCACAAATATGAATGCTGATGGCTGTAATTCGTATTTATTGTGTCTACTGTAGGAAGTTAAAAATGTTTTAGCCAAATTACACTTACCAAGTTTAAAAAATATATGTTAAATTCTGACCCCAGGTCTGCCTTAGTGTTAATTTCTTAAAATACAAGCGAGCAAGATAACAATGGATTGCACTCTCTTGTAATCTGTTCAGTTTGTCCTCATTCTATTTAATCTAGGAAAATCTAAATAGTATGCCATCCTGGGATTATTTCCTTTTATGTTCAAGTGTTTCTGTACAGCCTGTAGGCAGTTTGACTTGTCTTAATGATACAGAATTTAGAAAAACTATATGTGTTAGAAAACTGTATCACCCTCTGGGAAAATTCTTAGGAAATCACAAGATGAGATTATAGTTCATATTTCCTTTTAAATCTTATGTTTGAGTAAGTTTGCTTTTGCTGAAATGTTAGTGAGGCTGATATCACATTTACATAATCACAAATCACCAATACCAGAGGGCGAAGATAATTTTCATACGATATGATTTTATTTTCCTAATGGATTATGCTAGTTCAATCACTGATATTTTGCAAGTAGAAAATTAGACATATATTACAAATTTATGTACAATTTCATAAATTTGTATAAAATTAGACATATAATGCAAATTTGTATGCATTTACATTTCATAATGAATTTTTAAAAATATTCAATTTTTTTCACCCCCATACTTGGTTGTGTGGCAGCTCATTATTCTAACACAGAACTATGAGAAGTGACATTGTTGCATGTGGCGGGAAATCTGCAAGAGGTGTGTTTTATGCCTCCTGGACTGTATGTTCACCTTTTCAGTTTGTTCTTTGCAGAGTTCCACTGTTTGATTTCTTTTTCTGTTTTTGTATTATCCTAGAAATGTGCAGCTTTTTCTTCAGAGGATTACTTTTCAATTTTGAATATTCAAAAATTACTTTGTAGTCTTTTTTTTTTAAAAAAAGATTTATTTGTTTTTATTGGAAAGTCAGATATATATATAGAGAGGAGGAGAGACAGAGAGGAAGACCTTCTGTCCACTGACTGACCCTTCAAGTGGCTGTAATGGTTAAAGCTGAGCCAATCTGAAGCTAGGAACCAGGAGCTTCTTCTGGGTCTCCCGTGCAGGTGCAGGGTCCCAAGGCTTTGGGCCATCCTCTACTGTTTGGTTTCTTCTTTTGGAAAAAAGAGGAATCCTGAAAATGTTCATGGAAAATGTAAATCATGCGATAAACTATGCAAGGCTATCAATTTTTTGCACCAAAATAAACATTTTCTTTCACTTCCTTTTGAAGGACATTCATATCTCCATACAAAAATCTAGATGACTTGATTATAGATTGGTTTGGATTTCATAGGAAAAGGAAAAAAATGAACTATATTTGAATGATAGTCCATGCTACACATCCGGTTTCCTTTGGATTGTTAGTGCCTATCTTCAGACAACTCCTGTGTCATTTTGATCAAGTCCTACGGCAGAAAGAAGCCTTCAGTGATTTGTGATTTGGCAGATTGGAGAGGGACATCCTTAAGAAATGTGAAGCGTGGAGTGGAAGTCTGAGGAGAACAGCAGAATTAAATGCTGAGGAACCTCAGAGATAATGTCTCGTTTTATTGTTTTATTTAACTTCGCCATACCCTGCTGAAAGCCCAACATTTTTGTCATGGTATATTTTGAAAACGGTTTAAAAATCAAGACAAAACGTTATTAAAGAAAATAAACTGTTTAATTTTTTACTTAAAAAAAACACTGATTTAATTGAAACTAGGTGTTTCTCTGTTTTCCAGCTATTTTCTCTAGATATAAAAATGTATGCAGGAGTTTATCTCTTTTTTGAGTCTTGTTTCTTCATGCATAAGCTACCTACAATAGCAACTCTATCCTAGCATTGTTTATTTAATTGTGAGTTAATAAACTTGAAATAAACTGTCAAAAGCTTGGAAAAATACTCTTAAAAACTGTATGTATACAAGGAAATATATTATTGGTGATAAGCGGGGTTAGTAAGTAGTCTTAAGTGTTACATATTAGATGGCATTTAATCTTTATATCTGCTGTAGATTCTTAAAGTCTTAAGTGATTTATTAATTCAGCTCATTCCAGTACACTTTCATTTCTCAAGGTGTGTGTGTGTGTGTGTGTGTGTGTGTGTGTGTGTGCACGTGCGTGTGTGTTAAATTTCAAAGCCAATTTGCTAATGCTTTTTAGGTTTTGCTTAGACACACTCTGTAGATTTAGCACAATTATTTGCTTGCGTGTGTATTTACTGATAATCCTATAATATGCTTTCATCTAACTTATGGGACTTTTTTCCCTATGTACAGACGGCCCTCAGTATCCATGGGTTCTGTATCCATGAATTTAACTGACCTAGGAGGGAAGATATTTGAAAATTTGCATCTGTGCTGAACGTGTACAAACTTTCATCATTATTACCTAAATGATATAGTGTCACAACTATTTATATGACATTTATTCTCCATCAGGATTGCCATCTAAAGATGGTTTAAGAGTATGTGGAGGATGTGGGTGGATTAGATGCAAATATTACCCCAGTTAAGTCTTGGGCTTTCCTTACTGACTTTAACATCTGTTGGTTGGTGGAACTAGGAGCAATTCCCTGGATGTTGAGGGACGGTTGTAATGTGCTTAAGTATATAATCTGATATTTCTTGATTCTTAGGTGATGCTTGCAGTCATTCTTGTAGAATATTTGAGCTCAAATATATCATTTTTGTATTCAGTCTTAATTCTTATGCTGACTACACTGTGAATAATTTATTAAGCAACTCATAACATTTTGTATTGTTTGTGTATTTTAGCACTTGACAACATTAATTTATTCATTACATTGACATACTTACTTTAGATAAATACTATAATGGGAAATTGTATTTAAGGGATATTAGTATGTGTTTGTTTTTACTTTACGTCTTTTAGTTCTAGCGTGGTGTCTTTTTTGGTTTTGTTTTATTGCCTTTTTCTTTAATTTTGCTTACCAGAGCCAAAGCCTTAGTAGAAGAACAACGCCTTTTGTTCCTAGGGTCCAGGTAAAGGCCGTGTCTGCCTGATAGAAACTAAAGTTGTGTGTACACCCTTCTTTGTATGTTTTTGGAAAATGCGTAGTAGGAAAACTTTTTTTGGTCTGTTGCTCCAAACCATGTTATTGACTTTCAAATCATTTTCTGAGTCAGCTTGGAAATTCTGCATGGGGATTAGACTACAAAATAAAAATTTAAAGAGACAATCTTTGTTAGTGATTGTTATATGACAATCTAACTACTAAAACCAGTAGGTTTTGAAATGGTATTTAATGTAGATTTAACTTAGATTTTACTTATATATAGAATATTTATGGCAATAGCTAATTATGCTGTCAGTGTTTCCTTTTGTTGTGCTGAGGTTGCTGTCTCTTTAAATCGTTCATTGTGTCATTTAACATCTACATTTTCTTGCATTTTCCAAGCAGTAACTCCTTGAGGAGATTGGCAAATATATTTGTACCTTATTTCAACTATGCATATTTCATAAACAGTTAAACTTTTTGAAAGTATATTCTTTTGGAAAAAAACAAATCACAATCCAGATACAATGTGCTAGGTTTACTTTCTTTATATATTTTGTCATGCCAGTATATTTTACCATAATACTTGGGTACAAGTTGTTTGCCTCTTTTCATTAGGAAACCCTTGTAGGGTAAAATAGTATCAACCTAGCTTTCCTAAGCATAGTATTATCCCTTCCTTGCTTTGCTGCATGTTTAAAAAATATTTTTGGTCTTAGATAATAGTTATTTTGTTCAAATTTGAAGAATTAAAATTATTCTACTTAAGATTACAATAAACATTATCTGCTTGTGCTGTTCAAGTTCTACTCAGGAAAACTAAAAGAGTTATATGGTAAATCTGGAATAATTATATGAAAATGGTTAAAATGACATCATGATGCCAATAGGCTTATTTTAATCATTTATTGTACAGCTACAGATAGGCAGTTTAGGAGCATTATTAAGAAGTTAGGAAAAAAGATTCATAAAGTTGTGGATAATATAAACTGGGGATCCACTAAAAATTACAACCTCAATGCAATTCCACAAATAAAGCCTAGGTCGAATAATCAAACCTTTAGTTTAAAATAGGTTATTATAAAGTATAATTTTGATCAGATTATCAGTAAAAACAATATATGATTGTCTCCTAAATAATTGATTTTTATATTTATGTTTTAAATATAATTGAATAAGCGATGGAGTATTATTACAAAAATGTGAATATCCATGCTTAACAACTGTTTGCATGAGAAATAGAAATTAGTAGGTGATGTTTTTGGTTTCCAATGTGTGGCTCATTTATGTCATGATTTTTACTGAGCAAAAACACTGCATTGGCATAGTAACACTTCCTAGCTTCCGCAGGCCTTTTTTTGTGGAAAAAAAACTCACAGAGATTGAAAATTACTTCCAATAATTACCAACTTCATTTCATGATTATAAATACTATTTGTTTGCTACTTGTAAAGTTTATTAAAAAATTTTATTTTAGTGTGTTAAGATAACTTTTTCCTTAAGGTGTCTTGTATACATGTAATTATCCTCTGAAGTGATTTTAAGTATCTTGGAAAAATATAGTTTCCTTTATTAGTAGTAAAGATAAAAAATCATGAGAATTAATCTGCTCTTAGTCACAGGTTGTAGAGTAATTATAACATTGTCTATGACATCTCATCTCATGCACAATGAGACATTGCTGCATCTCGTTTTTTTTTAACTCATGTTTTTGCAAGAAGAATTTAATTTTCCTTTGCATTCCCCTAACTGAATGTATATTCTAATATTGTTAATTGAGCAAATTATCAAACATCTCCCTTTTCAAATACTGAGGACCTTTTTTCTTCAGATTGTTGATCCCTTAGTCTAAAGAAGTGGTTTTCAAGCTTGGATGCCTGCAGGGATCACCTGTAGGATTTGTTATAAATCTATTTTCAGGGCTTATTCTGATTCAGTAGATGACAGATAGACCCAAGAACTTTATAAATTTTCAGTGAATAAACTGAGTAATATTGATGCAGGATGTGTATTAACTGCAGCTTCAAAGGCAGTCTTCAAGCATCCACTTTACTTAAAAGCTCCATTAGGAAAACATGTTTTTCTTTATACAAAGGAGAGAAGAAGGAATAACATAAGAATTAGTAATTATGATTTTTAAATTTTATGTATCTCTTACATTTATTCCTATAGAAAAATTTGGCCAAAAAAGCAAATAGGAATAATTTACTTGCTCTATTTAGCTGTCAATTACCTCTTCTCACTCAAAAGTTACTTATTCTCTCAAACCCCACATTTTATAGTAAGCCATTCAAAAAAGCATGCTAGGTTTGGAAGTGGACTCCCAGTGTAACATATATAATCATAATAATCATTATTGTTATTTTCAAGTTCTAAATTTTTGATTCAGTATCAATTTTAGGATACTGGTTAGTGATGTGTTGAGTTGTGAACCAAAATGTGGATTAGAGCCATGGTTGTTCAGGATTCTGACTCATAATTAGCTAGCAAAGGAGTAGGAGGGTGTAAGCTGTGTGTGCAAGAGTGATGACTTAAATCAAATGTCTTCCGCAGATTATTGTGAAGTTCCAGTTCCTAATTATGGCACAGGAAAGTTAATTCACATTCTTATCTAAAATCATAAATGCCCTTCTATTATTTTGGAAATGTGAAGCATTTACTTCACAAAAGAAAGAGGCTTTATGGATAAGCAAGAAAAATTTTGAAAGATGCACTTAAAAGTTTCAAGTAGAAACTGAAATAATTTGTTAACTAACACTACTAGTGAATTCCCATAACTTACAGTCTTTGATAAGGTCTTTGGCTGTAGAATAACATAAAACATTTACTTAAAATGTCCCCTTGATTGTCATATAACCAAGTTATTGTCAACTTAGTTAATTTTGAGTACTTATTCTAAAAGAGAGTCCAAGATGAACTACCGTGATGTTCATTTTGTAAATGTAAGCAAAAACACGGAGCAATCAGTGTACATAAAGTCCTTAATTATAATGTAATTGTTATATACATGATAATAAACACATGCTATAGGATAATTAGAAAAGCTAAGAATTTAGCTCCTTTAACAGACCGTCTGAATCATTTTTTTTAATTTGTTGAAGTTATGATTATACATGCTTTTAACTAAGCATAATTTGCCAAGTGAAATTTATGTTATGTGCTATTATTAGTAAGAGAATGGCAATAAGTTTGGAAATGAAAACAGTATAATTGAGTTAATAGATGAATATTTATTGCTTTCCAGATAAAACTATGGTTTGACAAGGTTGGCCACCAACTCATAGTTACAATTTTGGGAGCAAAGGATCTCCCTTCCAGGGAAGATGGGCGGCCAAGGAATCCTTACGTTAAAATTTATTTTCTTCCAGACAGAAGGTAGGTATATAAAATAAAATAAGTGTTCAGTAACAATGAGTACTTCAGTTCTATGTCGTTTGTTTTTCTCTATCATAAAGGTGCATATTTTAAACATAACCATAGGCATAAAACTTCCTAGAAACCAAATATTGGCAACCAATAGTTGAGATTATATAAAGTTTAAATGTTTATTAACATATTTTTGAATATTCATTTTAGGCATGTGTGGATTATTTATTAAATATTTTCAACACAATTTTGGTGTCAACTGAAACATATTCCTTATTCCTCCTTATTCCTCTATAATTTCTACCTCTCCTTATCAAGATTTTTTCTGTTTCATAAAACTAGCAAGTGTGTTTTTATGTTTCATCGCCTTATTTAGGAAAGTTACCCACTCAGTATGGATACTGTTTTGTCAAGCATATGTTTATCTCTGTTCTCATTAACATAAATTATATGGTTGTAGTCTTACACAGTTTCTTTCAGGTCTCTGAGTAGACTTCATGGAAAGGGATGGGAGGCCATACTTCTATAACGTCCTATATAGAATTTTTAGTTACAGTGCATTTCTCTTTTATATTTTGAATGGAAAATTAAGAATTTGGATGCTATACTAAGCTAAATAAAAATAAAGATCCTGGTAATATGAAATTAATCGGAAAAAGTGTAGGTTAGATTTCAATTTTATCAGGAAAAAACCAATTACATTCTCTATAAATTAATGATTTTTAGAGATTCAAAAATTTTAACATCATTAGGTTGGTATCAAAAATATCTCTGTAACATGTTTATTGGTCTTAGTTTTTTAATGCTTGCAGCATCTTTTCAATTTTTGGCTGCTACAGCATGATTTGATGCTGAAGGCATTAGTTTGATTCCTAGAAAAAAGGATTTTTTTTTCAAAGATTTATTTATTTTTTTTGGAAAATAAAAGGACTATTTTCTTAATGTGCGAAAATAAGAGTTATAGCATTATTCTTTTAAGTGAATTTGGGCTTCATTTAACATTAAATTGCCTTATTAAGCTGCGACCATATATATTGGGTTTGTAAGGAGCTTCCAAAATTACTCCTCCCCCCCCCCGTTTCTACCCAATATAGAAATCCATTTTAGGAATACTCATACTTTGAGGGTTTTATTTTCATCTTTAAGAATAGTTACTAGCTCATTCTTTTGTTCTGCTTTGGATTTCAGTGAAGTTATCCTTTAATTAGTAAGTTCCTGCTAAATGCATCCTGCTTGGACTTCAGAGAAGGAATTTTATTTATTGATACGGTCTCAGAATTCGTTCTTTCACTACTGTGATATAAATAGACAATAAATAAGTATGTAAGATTTTGAAAGGCAAGAGGAGAGAAAGACCTGAGAAAAATCATAGTACTTATAATTATTCCCAGAACTTATTCCTTTACACAATGTCACTTCTTTTCCATTTCGAAATAAAATATGCTACACAGCTTTGAACATTTATCTTCCTACCAAATTAAGACAGATGTGATGCATATAAATTCATGTCAGTTACTATATTTATTTATTTTTTATTTTTTTATTATCATTAGTTGTTTTTTTTTAATAAAATTTATTTTGACATTCTTTACATAGTTAATTAGGGTAAGAAAGTTCAAGGGCTACAGGAAAGTGGATAATACTAGTATGTTTTCCATATTGTTACCTTCATGTTTAAAGGGGGGTATTAAGGGAGAAGGTCCACCCAATTTCCCACCCTCCCCAGGTCCTGGATGTAGGGCATGCTCTGAGGTTCTTGCTCAAGTGGTTTTGATATTGCAACTGTTATGAATCGCTCTCAATCTTGCCACTCCAAGCACTATGAGGTCTTTGAAAAATCCACTGATTGACATAGTCCATCATAGCTGAGATGGTTGGTTGACCCGTTCTGTCTTCTCTCTTTTCTTCGTTAGGGTTCTGAGTCCAGCATTTAGATTAGGAAGATCTCCAAAGAAACTTCTTGTATGTGCTAACAAGTACAGGGCCTGGCACCGTCCATCGCTCCAATCAGCTGGTGGTTGCAATTGCTGGGTTGGTTCTGTTTTCACTCTCGACTTCCACTGGAACCAATGGGTGTTGCAGTCCAGCCTGGTTCTGCCCAGCACATACTTGGCCCTCACCTAAACCAGTGGGAGCTGCAGCCTAGTTGGAGCGACCCACAATAACCCCCACCAGGCCCGCCCCCTACCCTGGTTTGCCAGTAAGTGTAGCAGTAATCCAGTCTGTCCCCACACCCCATTCCACCCCAGCCGCTATCTTAGTTTTATGTCCTCCTGTGGAAGTGGTAACCCAAGAGGGATGAGCCCACTATTTCCCTCCCAGGCCTCTCCCACTCCCAGATTCCAGCTGATGCTGCGTCTAAGCCCAAACAACCCTCGCCCACTTTAATTTTGTTTGCATCAGTAGGAATAATCCGCCGAGCCCGGCTTTTCCCTGATCTAGTCCACATGAGGCGCACAGGTGTGGTAGCTCTGCCTAGTCTGGTCTGCCCCCATCCCAGCCTATGCTCTCCTGTGGAAGTAGCTGTCCAGCAAAGGAACCCTCCCTTATTCCCCTGCCGGCTCTGCCCACTTCCTTTCTTGTTCTCAGGCTGGTTGGGCACTGTGGTCCCTTCCGGTACAGGCAACCTCACCTCGGCATTCCATATTGTGCACTAGTCTTTGTTGCGACCGAACCTGGGTCGACCCACACTGGTGCCTGGATTTGCCAGTGGATGACATGGACAGCTTCAGCCTGGTCTTGCCCCCACGTCTGCCAATTGTATGTCAGTGTGTAGCTTTCCATGGCCTTTTCTGGGCTGTTTCCTATCATGTTTCTTGCGCTGACCTGCCGGGTCTGTGTCCTGCCAGAGGAGTTGCCCAGGCTCCTCCATCAGAACCTCTCCCAATGCCAGGTTTCACGCTTACCAGTGGGTCCATGAGCCAACCCTACTCAGTCCACCTCCTGTCATGGCAGGAACTGTGGCTTTTCCTGACTGGCCTTCCACCCAATCTGGTTCTTGCTGTTGGATGTTCCAGCCCAGCCATAGTTTGTCCATACCCACGTATGGCTCACACATGGCTCAGTAGGGGTTTGAGACCTTGTCTAGTCCATCCCATATCTGCCCTGGTCCTCCAGGACACCAGAGGGTGTTGGGGTCCAGCCCGGTTCGGTGCATTCAATCCTAGTCCACACTTGTGCCAAGGGAGACTACAACTGTTTCCAGATCAGAATGCAGCCCCCCTTCCAGGCCACATGCCTCTTGGTGGGAACCTCAGCCCAGCTAGGGTTGTCCCCTTTGCTCCCCAACCAGGCCTATTCCCAGCCATAGATCACTTGCCTGCCAATGGATGCTCTGACTCAGCTTGGCACAGCCCCTCCCCTGTCCCAAACTCTGCCTTAGACACTGTGGCTTAGCGTCCCTGGCTCCCGCAGAACAGTAGGTACAAGAGCCTAGCTCGGCATGACCTTTGCTCCCTCCTGGTTTCTAGTTTTACTTGTGGGCTAAGGTTTGCTCGGTCATGCCAGATCTACTCTGTTCCATTACCAGTTGACACATTAGCCAGCTGTTGGAGCTACTTTTGCAGGACAAGCCCCAAGCCATAGCTTCTGCATGGACTGGTATTTGGTGCTCAGCATTATTAGTGATTAGAAGTTTTACAAAGGAAGAGTTACTGCCTTTTTCAGGTCCAAGAAGCACAGTGGGTTCAACCTGGAGCTAATTAAGCAGCGACTCAAAGAACCAAATCCCCAGAGCTCCCCGGCCGGGTGGCCAATAAGTGGAGCCTGGCACCAAATGGCGCACTGGCCGCCCGGGGAACAGCTCACCATATGCACATGGTGGCTGTCCAGGATCCAGGCATGAGACGCCCCATCCTGAGACCCACCAGCTGCTGGGAGGCTACTGGAGGTTTAAATTCCCAGGCCCAAGGTCGCGCCCCTCCCAAATCCCATTCACTGCCCAATGAAGGCAGCGGGTGGGTCCTGGACATGCCCAGTCCCAGAGACCTCCCCCCTCGGTCTACTCACCCTGCAGGAAGTGGCCCCCGGAACCCAGCAGGCCCGGGAAAAGCTCACCATGTGCACATGGTGGCTGTCCGGGATCCAGGCATAAGACGCCCCATCCTGAGACCCACCAGTTCCTATATTTAAAGGAAGCTTTCTGCTGTATTAAATATGTTTGATCAGAAAACATGTATTGTCTCTAGAACATTCAAGTCTAATCTCTATTAACAATTAAAGTTACTTTGCTTCCCCATTTCAGAGACACTCTTGACTTTATTCTCTTTCCTCCCTGTGTTTCCCAACACTCTTAGAACTGTCTTGTGTTCTATTTGGAGTTGATTTTCTGTGTGGTTATCATTCAAATAGGTTCTCTATGGAGTCTGCAGTTTATTCCTGTTGCTATCCCTTTTTCTTGTATCTGGTCATTGATCCTAATATCTTAGAGAAGTGATGTCCAAATTGGAGAGGGGTAGTTTTGCTGATATGTAAAAATTCTTGAAAAAGATTCTTGAATTAACATTCTTATCATATTATTTTTTATCTTTTATGTTAATGTATTTCCCAATATATGTAACTTTTCAGTACCACTGGTAATACTTATAGGAAATTAATAAATAAATGTGCAAATGATGAGATAACAAATTGTTCAGTTTATGAAGGCATACAACCTAAGAAAGTATGATAACCTCTGAGTTGAGAATCCCATCAAATGGTCATCTTCCATTTCAAATTTACACTATAGTGGCTGTCTTACATATAATTTTCAAGATTTTAAAAGACGTAGTATTTGTGAAATAAACAAATATTTATTATGTGTAAGAGTAATTTCATAAGGTGCAAATAGTAATTACTGAGTAGATAAACTATGGGTATAAAGCTGTGGACATGAGTATGTATATACGTATTTTGTATAATAAGACTTGCACAGGGTAAGTTAAGGGTATATGTAATATTACTGCTTAAATACTGTCATTAGGATTTCCAGTGGGACCTTACGTTCAAAATTTGAATTATTATTTTCCAGTCTGGTCCTATTATGGTTTTAAGAAAGATAAAATTTTCAATTACTATTTTTGAGAAAAAGTAAAATTCATTGAAATGTCATTAAGTATGACAGTGATTGAAAATAAAGTATGATGCAGTTACATAGCTTACAAATTTTAATAGTAATTTTAAGGGTTATAATAATTTCAGTGTATAACACATTTGTGGTTTAATAACTTCTCTCCAGAAAAGCAATAACTTCATAAATTTTAGGAAAAATGTATTATTTAAATTTTTATACTTTTATTTTTTTATAGCGATAAAAACAAGAGAAGAACTAAAACTGTGAAGAAAACATTAGAACCTAAATGGAATCAAACATTCATTTATTCTCCAGTTCACCGAAGAGAGTTTCGGGAACGAATGCTTGAAATAACCCTTTGGGATCAAGCTCGAGTTCGAGAGGAAGAAAGTGAATTCTTAGGAGAGGTATCTGAACTTATTTGAAAACTTACATTGTTCATGTCATGCTGATTATTTTTATATGACAGTCAATGGAATTTTATATTTCAAATCTCTAAAATAAGCATTTTTTCTTTAATGAATGTAGCTACAGCTGGGGCCCGCATGGTGTTGAATAGGTTAATTCCCTGGTTGCCAGCGCTGGCATCCCATGTGGACGCCGCTTTAAGTTCTGGCTGCTCCTCTATTGATCCCAGTTCTGTTTATGATCTAGGAAAGCAGTCAAGGATGAATCAAGTCCTTGTGGCCCTGTACCCACCTTAGGGACCCAGACGATGTTCCTGGCTCCTTGCTTCAACTCAGTTCAGCTCTTGACTTTGATAAAATCTTTTCAGCTCCAGCTGTTGGGGCCATTTGGAGAGTGAACCAGTAAATGCAAGATTTCTCCATGTCTCTTCTTCTCTATATAAGTCTGCCAAATAAAAAATAAAAGCAAATAAATCTTTTTTTTTCCCATTGGAAAATCAGTTGTACAAAGAGGAGAGAGAAAGATCTTTCATCTGATGGTTCACTCCCCAAGTGGCCACAACGGCTGGAGCTGAGCTGATCTGAAGCCAGGAGCATCTTCTTCTTCAGGGTGTCCCATGTGGGTGCAGGGTCCCAAAGCTTTGGGCTGTCCTTAAATGCTTTCCTAGGTCTCAAGCAGGGAGCTGGATGGGAAGTGGAGTAGTTGGGACAAAGACCAGCACCCATGTGGGATCCCAGTGGATGCAAGAGAAGGACTTTAGCCACTAAACTACCGCAGCAGACCCCAAATTAAATACATCTTTAAGAAAGATAAACATAGCTTCTGCTTTCAAAGTTTATCAACACTATATAAAATGGTTCTGAAAACTGATAATTTTGTATTTTTGTTCTTACTATGGAAATTTTGCTGTTGAAAAGATTGCATTATGTTTCAAAACTGCTTTGTTTTTTATTACATTTCATTTTATGACATCGTTTCATAGGCTTAAAACTGCTTTGTTTTTTTAATGTAAATATGTGGTGTGTTGTATATATCTATACCACTGTTAAGTAGTAAAATTTATTCATAGATTGATTTTTAAACCCTATAGTGTTCCAGGCACTGTGTTAGAGACTGAGCCTTAAACTGTGAAGAAGGCATATAACTTCAAGAAAGTTGCAATCCACTGGGAATCTAGACAGTAAAGTAACACTTTTGCTAGAACACGCAAACTGCTTGCTATATTGAGATAAAGGCAACAGGATTGTAAAACTATCATGCAAGTGAGGAATGCTCAAAGTATTTGGAAAGGAAGAAAATTTAGCAATGTCAAGAGAAGTTACTCCTGCAGAGGGAAAAAGACATAAAGAGCCAGAGGTTTTTGTACAATAGTATTAAAATTGGAAGGGCAAATGGTAAGAAATGAGACTTGCCTACTACAGTGAATTCAAATCAGATCCCTTACCATATTAAGACATTTGAATGCCTCCTTTGGCTAAGGAAAACCAGTGATTGATTTACAAAGAGATTGATTTGATGGCTTTAGGGCTTGAGAGAAGTATTTTTAATTGTAATGTGGATAATGAATTGGAGAAAGGCAAGATAGGAAGCCTTGTTGAAAAATAAGCCTATAAACAATTTGAGAAGCCAAATGACAAAGTTGTGGGCAATAGACATTCTGCCCTAGTGGTGTGGATGTATGAATTTCCTGCACAACTATTGAGCAAGTTGTTTCATCTTTGTGCTTCCTTAGTTAGCCATAAGAGAATAATTACGATTATAAATGAGTGCTGTGGTGTGTGTAAACAGAAGGGACATAAATGCTTATGTTGCAAATGACTTGGGGGAATTTGGTAGAAGCTAAATAATATCTTGGCTGTTTTGCTTGTTTACTTCCTGTAGCTAAAAAGTAATGTGTTTTCACACAGCAATCCGTGCAAACACAAATGTACTTTCTCACTTGGATAATACCTTAAACAGAAATAGTCATTTATTTATACAGACTGATTTCTTTTATAATGTTCAAACATATTCTTAACACAAAAGCCATAATATAGTTCTCAATTAAACCCCATTCTTTTGATTCTTTTTTTCCTTTTCTTTTTTAAATCCATAAACCATCGTATGTTGAATCCATAGTTTTACGACAGACTGATTCATATGATATCATTCACTAATGAGCTAGTTGTGTTTACAAATAAGTTCTTTTAATCATTTTTGGCATTGGTATCATATTGATAAAAGTTAAATAAGAAGAGTGAAATTAAATATAAGAGTAAAATTTTCCTAGTAGCAGTCTGTTAATTAAATAACAAATTGTTAGAAATCTTAATGTATGGTATGTACTTTAAAATAGCTTTTCTTTCCTAATTCAAGATTTTTAAAGTTTAAATTAGTTATTATAAAATAATATGCATTTTATTATTATAGAACTAAAAATATTATTTCTGTAATGGTAAACTTAACAACATCTAGTAGGTGAAAGGTCAAAAAATCTACAGATTGCATATCTTAGGTATTAAATGACTAGATAACAAAGAAATTACAGAAAATTTTATCTAGAGATTACTGAAACATATTGATAGTTTTCCAACCCCTAAATGATTTGGTTTTTGATCTAACATTGTTCTTATTATAACGATTATAGAAGATACAAGACCCTTAGAACCTGTTTTGATTGATGCATCTAACAGTCTTTTTTTCTCTTGGGCTTGTAGATTTTGATTGAGTTAGAAACAGCATTATTAGATGATGAGCCACATTGGTACAAACTTCAGACCCATGATGTGTCTTCATTGCCACTTCCTCGCCCCTCTCCATATATGCCTCGAAGACAGCCCCATGGGGAAAGCCCAACGCGGAGGTTGCAAAGTAAGTTTCCAGAAAGTGTCACCACTGCATTTTCTAACTTTGAGTGAGTTGGATTTGGATATATTATTGAAATATTAAATGGTACCTGTTAGTAATATTTCATAGCTGTTATGGAGGAATTTAAATGGTTTCATTCACTAAAATAAGTTCACACTGTTTACTCATCACAATTTTGAAGTGCATTACAGTTGTGTTTTGGGTGATATTACTCTAAAAGATCACATGATACATAAATCCTAGTACTTAGAATTTTAAATATAAGAATCAGATAGCAGACTTATAACTACCAAAAATTATGATTTATACTTTAATTTTCCAGATATTTTATGAATTTGTAGGACAGCAAATATACCATAGTGGTTTTTTTTTTTTACATTGGAACTGTATGGCTTGAGCAGATTATATCTTATGCCTTATTTTGTTTATTTATGAAATGGAAATGAAAATGCCTATTTTATACAGAGTTTATAAGAATTAAGTAATGTAAAGTGGTTTTGTTAAAATGTTTGCATTTTGGATGAGACTTGAGTATCATCTTAATTTTGAAGCAAAATTAGATCAATCTGGAGAAAATCAGAATAAAGTCAGAAATGTTTGGAGAATGAAAAGTGTTATTTTTGGTTCTGTGAATCTACAGTTTAAGGTTTGAGATTTTTGCTTATGAATCTGTAATCAAAAGCTGAAGTAGATGCTTGCCGCTTTTGTTAACGAAGTCAACATATTCCAGGTTACAGTATAAAATTATTTGTGTATTTTAATAATGGTGTACAGTAACAAGACTTTAAATGTGTACATTTATAGTCATGAATTCCCTATCATTTATTAATCATCAGGAATACACTTGATACTATAATAAGTAGCTACTGACTAAATATATCATTACCTTCCTACTGTATAGGAAAATAAATCATGTATCAAAAGGCTGCTTGATGAGTAGAGAGGTAGGACAGAGTGATGTATGGCAGTCAGGAAAACTGGGAAAATTGCATTCAAGGTTTCAAAAATACTTGGAATTGTATTTTCTGTCAATAATCAAATATGTGGGTAATTTGTACTAATTGAAACTAATTTTGCAGCACTCCTGTTTCCAGCCTCCACACATCAACACTCATCCATCTCTTCTTTCAAATGCCATTACAATATTTTTGTTGTAGTTTTTATATTAGAATGAGTTTTATCAGAACTGATGCTTTTGTCGTGGCTGCTATCCTCTGTTCAACAAAATTTCACAAGGTCCACAAAGCAGGATAATGGCTTGTTACATGAAAGTGACTAATGTGTGTTGTAACCTACTAGAAGCCATTGCTACAGTAGTAATAGTTCATAGTGTAGAGGTGCAAGTCAATCTTACCTTTCCCAAAGAATTTTCCCATTCTCCACTGCTTTGGGTTGTTGTGATACAGAGCAGGTTTGGACTCCTAATGCATGAAGCTTTTATATCCACTCCTAGTTTCTGTTTTTCCCCTAGTTGATAAGTAACAGTATATGTGAAGGATAGTGCAAATAGAGTACTTCCTCAGTGAATGTATGTGTTATGAATTTTCATGCAATTAATTTAACTTTTAGCTTTTCTTCCCCCCCCCCGAACTGATTCTTCTTGTTACTTAGTTATTAATTACACTAAATTTTCCCAAGGAATAATAATGGCCTCACAGTAAATAATAATCAAGTCTGAAAATATCAGTCTCACTCATAGGGATTATATTTATTTTGTATTCTGTGTTGTAGTTCCCATAGACTAGGGAAAGCATATTTGTATTTTTGGAATTGGCTTACTGCTCAGGAATAGGAAAAATAAAAACCTGTCCTTTGCCATAAAATGGATATACCTTGAAAGTATTATTTTAAGCAATATTTTTGATATAGGATTCAGGTAGCTTTGAGTATCAGCTTTGAATGACCAATACAATTAAATTAAATATCAGGGTACTTCAAGACGCTTATGAAAATGGAAAAAGTTAAGTATTTTCTTACACTTTTAAGTGCATGCATGTGATTATATCAGTGTTATTAATGTGACAAAATAAGAATGTTGTATGTATCAAAATAATTCTAAAGATGTTGACCTAACTTTGTGGAAGCATTATACATTTTGAAATTGGAGGACATTAAGGATAACAAATATTAGATAAAGAAATAAAAAGCCTGTGAAAAACAAGTGGAAAAGGCATGGCCGTATTCTATTTGTTTACTTGTTTACATTATTGGTTCTTAGTGGGCTGACCATAATAATTACAATGTGTGAAGAGCATCATATGTGAGTAATTCCTTGTTTCCCTTCACAAACAAATCTCTAAATAACTTCAAATAGATTTTACCATCACACTGCAAATATAGTTTAGTACATTGTGCTGGTATATGTTGTTCTAAATATCTGTCATCTGCAAATATGTATATGATTAAAATCCCTTTGTGAAGAATAATTTTAATACATCAAAGCATTTGGTGCCTAATCTTTTATTCTTACTTAAATAACTCCTTTAATAATTGTTAATCTTTCCATCACTAACATAGAATTTTAATTTTTAAAAATTGCAAAGAATCTTTGGCCTTCATAGAAAATGCTGATACTGACCCTATCTCATTTTTAGAAGTAAAATATTAGATGCTTTGTAATATCTTTTGACAAAGAACTAAAGCAATGTATTTTCTTCTTTTATTCTGTATTAAATGTACTGATGTCATTTTCACAGGTTTTAGAAATACAATAATCTTTCAAATAATCTCAAATTCATTAAATATTTTGTTCTAATCTTGCAGTAAAACTTGTACTGGTGAATTGTATCTTATTAGTGGTCGTCCTAATGATTTACCTTTGTGTTCTTTTTCCAAGTAGATGTTTTTTAGGGAAAATGTTATGAAAAGAAAATGACATGGACAACTTCTGATTTTCACATTAATTAGCAATAGCTATGTCTTTGTTCTATCTTTTTGCTTAAGGAAATGGTGAATGATTTAGAACTCTATGTACCGTAGTTACTAAGTCTGCTTAAAAAGTAACATGACATTTATATTTATTCACTTGTAACACCCCTCTGTCATACTGTTTCCTGCAAATTTTGGCTGCATACTTTGTAATCACCTCTTCATATCACAATGTTCTCTTTTCAGTAACTTACAGGTATGCTATTGACTATATGATTTTAAAAACATGTTTGCATATTTTGTGTTCTTGTTAAGGAATGCTTTCCTAACTCTTAAAACTCTTCTTTTACTTCATATGTTTTTTTGAGAAGTGATATTTTTTCATTATTACAACCCTCAAATTTTTTCTTCACTTTGTGATATAATAAGTAATTTTAAAATTTGAAGCATTACTAGTCCTTTTTTTATATTTTTATTTTTCACTGGGATCATATCATCTCATTATAATTTAATTTTAATTTGGTCAATAATTCTTTTATGGTATACTGGAACAGAAGCAAGTTATATACATACATTTCTCTAAGTTTTATTACATTACATTGGTACTCTGAGATTCATAATGTTGAATTACTATACTATGGAAATTGGCAAATGCTACAAATTCAGGTTTTATTTTTTCCAGAGAAATGGTTGTTAATATTTTACTAGTATAACACCTTGAGATTCAGCTTTTATAAATTATTGTAAGAAATTTAATGGATGGAGGTCTAGGAAAATCTAAATGAGTACTTATCTAAACTCCATATGAAAGCACTGGAAAGATAATTAATGAAATGTATCAGCACATTTTTTAAAAAGTGAGTATTAAAAAAAAATAAATAAAAAGTGAGTATTTTAAATTTATTGTCAACAAAGATATTATAAGGTAAATATAGGACTGTGCAGGATAATGCCAAAAATCTACTTCTCTACTTCTTCAGAATGCTTCCCTCAAATTTTAAAATTGAATATTAGGAAATAAGCTTTAATTATAATTGGTAAGCATATTATTTTCTTTAATTTATTGATTCATGTCACTATGTGGTATGCTTGCTGGGTTGCTAGTACAAATATTCCTTTAGATTTAAAATGTACACTCTGATGGTAATTTACTCATTCTTCAATGTGAAAATTACTTAATATTTTACTATCTTTTCAAACTTTGCTCTTTGTTAATAGGAAAATCTAATTTATATCTCCATAATTATGATCATTTTACAGGTTAGACTATCAAAACCTTTTTTTTTCTGTATGGTTTTTCAAAGTTTGCCTTAGCCTAAAAAGAATTTGGTTTTATGGTATGCTTCTTGTAGAAATTATGAATTCTAAAAAGAATAGTGCATCTTTAAAATTTTTTTAAAATTTATGCTCATCAGTTGCTTATAACATGTTAAATTTTTAAGAACATTGCTTTGTAATTCATATGTGTTATAAGATAGACTTGACAACATCGTTACGCTGCAGCCTATTTTTAATTTTTAGTTTTATGTATCTTCTCGTACTAATTTCTGCTCCTTGGGTATTATTTTTACATTTAGTTGAAGTTTTAATGAATTTAATTTATAATTTTAATCTGCTGTTTTGTTTTCCTTTCATATATTTTTCTGACAGAATAACTTTTATGCTTTAATGTAAAAATATCAAACTATGTATTCTTAAATATAGGGCAGTAATTACATGTCACTACTACTATCACATATAAAGATTTTTAAATCTATTTTTGACACTACTTTAACATTTTTTTCCAGATAAAGTATTATGTTCATATAATGCAGGTAAATTTTAGCATGTGAAATGTTTAATGCATGTATTCATATGCACATTAATTGGTTTGTTGTTTTGTGCTTTGTTTTACTTTTGTGCATATGTAAAGTTCCTAGCCAATACCTCAGTGGTTTATCCTATTTTCCTAATGAACATTTTCAATATTTCCTATTTCAAATACTTCCTATTTCAATTATTTTGGTGTTAAAAATCACTTGTTATAGTATTTGATTTATTATTTCAGTGTGTCTAATATTGTCTCTTAATGTGGCACTATTCCATCACTGAACTCTATTTTACTACAAGTAATGCTTTATGCACACTGTCTCCAA